CCATATGATGCAAATCTACGTCATCATCCTATTTTGCCATTTTCACAATTTTTTATGGGATTATATACATGGAGAAGTGTGTATTATTTTAAAGCATAAAAAATTATGTCATTTTAAGAGAAAAAAAGAGATAGATAAAGAAAGAGAAAGTTAACAAAAAAACAAAAGTGTTGATCCTACCTCTTTACGAGAGTAAAATGACACAAATTATATCATTTAAAAGGATAAACATTTTTTCTTATATCTAACATATTTTTTCTTATTATTAATTTTATCATTGTTGTCAAAATTAAATTAATTACTCTCCCTTGATATTATTTTATAATTGTTAATTTGATTTTAATTCAACAATTATAAAATTAGAAGTAAAAAGTGATAAAAAAAAATAGCAAATATAATCTATCTTTTTTTATAAGTAAACTATTTTTCGATAATTAATTTTTCATTCAGTCTTTCTTGGAATGCTTTGAGTAATTTAAATTTAGAGTAAATATCATTTTCGGTTCTCTGTAAATTTCACGATATTCGCTTTAGTCTTTAAAAAATAAAAAAAGGTATTTGTAGTCCCTAAGAAATTCAAAGTGGACCCATTTAGTTGAAATCGTAGTCACTACTAACAAATTCAAAAAAGACCTACATTAGCCCCTCAAAAGAATTAAAATGGGTCAACTTTAAATTTCTTAGGGACCACAAATAGCCTTTTTATTTGCTAGGAACTAAAGCGGACATCGTAAAATTTGCTAGGACCGAAAATGGTATTTACTGTTAAATTTATATTTCAATCTATTTTGACACTCCTGTTCAGTTGAATTTTATTTTATTTTTTCATTCTTTAGTATTCAATTACTTATTAATATTGATTGCCGAAATTTATTATTATTATTATTATCGTCCTAAACAAAAAATGATTTTAATAACAAAAAAATCCTCATAATTCAAGATTTACATATTATTAAGTCAAAACATTAAAAATATCATATCACAATAATGACGTCACCATAAGTTATATATTTTTTTACCAAGCTTAAATAAATAAAATTTTATTACCAAGATGTTATAAAAAAAATCATTTTTTTTTGTAAACGTTTTTTTTTTTCATTTTAAAATATTTTGATAAAAGATAGTTCAATCAAATTAATTCTTCGTGGAATCATAAAAGTAATTAATTATCTTATAATTATTATTACATCATATGTGTATTGATGATGGAAAAATAGAATAACTTTTCTTACGTTAAAATTTCATATAATTTGATAATATAAAATTTTTACGTTTTTTTTATTATAATAATTGAATCCCATTTATTTTATATATGTAAAGAGAGATATAAAAAAAAAAAATCATATAACCAATTTATATAACTTTTCTTATATAAAATTTTAATCATACGGCTAATTGTTCACCACGTGTCACGCACTTAAGCACCCTAGGGTACACTTTAACGGCAACAGTTTTTCACAACCCAATATCTCAATGAATGCTGCAACCTGCAATGCCATTTTCTAGTGTCTAGCACTGTTCAATGACATATTTGCCCTTGTATTGACCACCACTACTACCGTGTGTTACACGAACCCACAGTAACTTGAATCAGACGGCGAAGTCCTCTTTCTGACAATTGGACGGTCAAGATCTTCGAATTTTTCGCCCATTGACGAAAGAAAATCCAAGTCCTAATTATCTTTACTATTTTTGCTTTTTAATATTTTTGGGATGCCAATTATATAAAATTTTAAAGTGGTATTGCTAACCAGGGGCGAATCGAGTGAGTGATTAATATCGATGGCCGCCTCTTCCTAATTTTTTTTTTTAATATTATTAAAAATAATTATTAATATTAATAGTTAGTTCTTTTCTTAAATTTTTTTATGATAATTAATATTTTCTATTAATTTAATAATATTTATATGGATTTGATTTTTATTCTTTTCAAAAATATAGAATTATATTCTTTTAAGTGAAAGGAAGGGATACACAATACAAATTATTTGAGGAAAAAATAAGTTTTTTAATTTATATTTTAAATAAATAATATGAATTTAAGTAAAATAATCATTATTTAAAAAGATAAATATTGTTTTAATTTGTAATTACAAAATCTTATTTTTATCTTCTTCAATAAAAAATTGTGAATTTGCCACTGCTGCCGACGAATATTGAGGTTTAAACAAACGCAATTGCAAAAAGTACCACCGACTGGCAGCAAAACCCAAAAGTCAAAACGACACCATAAAGCTATTATAATTTATTTTGTTCGCTTTTATTACATATACAATATATATATATATATACATATACACACACACTGACGGAGGTATTAACTTCTAATAATATTTTTTACAAATATTTTATTTATAACCGTGCATAACTTCAATGAAAATATTACTTTTAAAAAAAAATCAAGTTAAACTTTTTTAAGAGATAAAAGTTTTTTTTCTATTTTATTTTATTTAATATAAATGAAATTTTAACAATTTATCCTAATGTTTATTGTTCGATAAAAGAAATTTTATTAAATAAAAAATTCATATTGAATTAAGTTTATATATATTATTGGCGTAATTTGTTTTAGAATTTCAAATTCACATAAACCTCTGGAATTCAGATTTCCGTGTTATATCAATATCACTAAAACTACAACTCACTTGCCTATCCATAATCTTAAAGTGTGTCTTGAAGAATGGATCTAAATCTGTGGATGCATGATGTCTTGCTCATTCATATTAAGAACAAAATTATTTGCTGAAACTAATAGTTTAGTGTAAATGCCCCTATTAATAATTTGGGATTAAAAAAACACACACTATTTTTTAAAAAAACATTACAATTAGATATGTAAATAGACTAGATCACCTATTGAAAGTAGAAGTGTGCAAAATAAAATAAAATAAAAAATTAAATTATGAACTGAATTGATCTGCATTTAAAACAATTGATTTTTAAAAACTAATTCATAAACCGAACGAGTTTTTAAATAATCATTTTATGAACCAATTCAGTTTTTAAAATCTAATTCAAGAATCTAACTGATTTTTAGAAACGAGTTCAAGAACCAAATTAGTTTAAAAAAATTAGTTCATAAATCGAATTGCATTTTTTTATTTCTCTTTTTTATCTTTGTTTTACTTATTTATTTATTTAGTGGTTTCTTTTATTTTATATTTTTACTTTATTTCTTTAAAAAAAAATTTCTTTTATTTTCAAAATAAGTTCTATCTAAACTGCTTTCGAGCTGAATCGAACCGTTTTCGAATCGACTCGAATCAGTTTTGAATCCAATTGAATCGATTTTGGGTATAAAAAAAATTGGTTCTTTGAACCAAATTGATTTAAATCTATTCAGTTCAGTTTTTTAAAATATTCAATTTAATTCGACTCATGTACGCTCGTAATTAATAACGTCCTTCATATTAGATTTAATATCATCGTGAAATAGAGTAGGCTCAGATTAAAAAATGTATTTAATAAATAGACCATATGCCTATTTTAAAAAAATCAGGTTTACAAGCCATCTTATTTAGTATTTTTAAATAAAGTAATATTCATTTTTTATTCTCATTCTACATGACAATTTTCTTTAAAATATTTATTGTTGGTGTTTTTTTATCTCGTTTGACCTTCTATATTTATAGATGATTATATATATATATATATATATATATATATTTTAGGATACTCGTACAACCTTAATTCAATGTCACTCATGGCCATAGGTTCTATTATCACTGGTTCAATTTGCAAGAAATGTGTAGACCTATAGCCTTAAATTACTAAGTGCACGCTACTATTGTTTATGTTGATTTTTTAGCATTATATGATAGTGTGTTTGTTATTTAATTTTTTTTTTTTTTGATGTTTTAGGTTGAATATTCAAATTCGCAGATATGGTCTATATTTCCTTAACTTCATAAGTATTTTGAAGAGATTAATTGTTAATCATAAGAGTTTTTACTATTTATTCTTATATTTTAATTTTTCATGCAATTCATTTTTTATTTATTACAAAATCAATTATAATACGCCTTGAAGGCTAGGCCGGGTCTTCCAATCTTTAAAAATAGTCAATACCGGGTTTTATAATTTAGCCTCCATCATATTAATAAAACATGTTATATTCAAAATATTTTACATAGATTTAACTTATTCATGTTATTAACCTAGCTCAGCTTTTTTTATTTTTTATTTTTTTTGATAACAGCTCAGCTTATTTTTACTCCTATGGTAATGTATTATGCGAGCAAAATATATTTATACCCAATAAAAATATTTTAAAATACACAAATTAAAAAACATATACAAGTTAATAATTTTTTTTTTGAAAATCATATGTTAAACTGAACGTTCTATTATATATATTAATATTATTTATGGATAATTTGATTCATTGCATTAATTTAAAATTATTTAATACTTAATTATAAATTTTATGTAATGTATAATTTTAAAAGATATAAAATAAGAATCATTTGAGTAAGTTTTTAGCTAGGTCATTTTTTTAATATTTAATACAAACTATTAAAACAATAGAGTCAGTTTGATCATAAGAATTATATCTACATCAAGCTATTAAATTGTGTAAAAATAATTAATTTTACATCGATATAAATCAATCCTTGTTAGATCGCTCACGAATAATTTTTCTTTTTCAAATTTACAATTACTTCTTAGAGGTGTGAAAACTAAAATTCGAGACCTGTGTGTATGAAATGAGAATAAAATCAACGGTTGAGATGCTACTCCCATGAATCATTCGCATCTACTTTTCAGGCCAATTAATTTTTCTAAACAATCCAAGCATAAGAATAGAAATAAATAAATAAAAAGAAAAATATTTTGGCAGTGAATAGTAGTAGTAGTAATAGATCATGGTTCACGTAAACGTGTTGTGGAGATGCCACGTGGAGGGTAATATTGTACATAGAATTAATTGTTCGTACACGCGCGCAAGAACCTTACTTTAGTATTATTATTATTATTAACTTGTCGGGTTTCACATTCAAAGATCCAAAATGTGCCAAAGGTTGCAGAGCCACAGCCAGGAAATTCTAATTTGACGCGAATTTTCATCCAATGGGAATATTATGATATCTATTTTAAGATTTCACATTTGATCCTTCTTAATTTTACCTGCAAATCTCTCCTTGTAACTTTGTTTTGTTTTTTTTTTTTTTTCTCTCTTTTATATTTATTTTAATTTTCCTGGAAATTTTATTTCTTTGTCTCTTCTTTCTCCTGATGATCATTTTGCCATCTGGGTGAGTTAATTTGTGAGTGTTCTGCGCTGATTTCTTCTTAAAGGCTCAAAGGGTCTTCTGGGTTTGATTGAACAAGCAAAAGGGTCCCTTACCATTTCAACGCCACAAGATGCCAGAAAACCGGCAAGTTCTGAGGAATGCTGCTTCTAATCCATCTGGTGATAACATTGAAGGTAGTGCAGATTCTTCTCGTTATTGATTTTTTTTTTTGTCATGATTCATCGTTTAACTGGTTCTGATCATCATTTAATGATGCCTATCTATTGCTTTAATTGGAATGTTAGATTGATTTTACTCAGCGATTTTGTTTCATTTATGATAGTTCTCTTTTTATGGTGCGATAAGATTTTGATTTGAGGAATTTTGATGATTCATATTATGTATTCTGAGACCTTTGAAGATTTTTGGTACCATGGCTTAACTTGTGTGGTTAAAAAAGGTTCAGAAATTTATTGTTCTCATTTCATGTTTTCTTTCCTAAACTCAAGTGTTGTGCTTGATTGCGTATGGCTTTACTAAGTTGATGTATTTTGCTTGATGATGCAACAAAGGATCGGCTGAAATGTTTTGTTCTTAAATCTTTTCGCTTGCAATAGTGTGCTTTATGAGGTGATCTTAAGTTTCTGATCTAATAAGTTGTATTGTACTCTGACTGTGGTAATTTGAGTTATCGTTTACACAGCTTCTGTTGAAATGCTTGTTGAGACTTTGCCTGATTCCTATCTGATCTGTATTGCAGAAGCTATTCGGCGTTTGAAAATCAATGACAATCGGGATCGAGATGCTGCAGCTCAATCTGCACCATATCCAGATCGACCTGGTGAACCTGATTGCTTATATTATTTGAGGACCGGAATGTGTGGTTATGGGAGTAACTGTCGCTATAATCACCCTGCTCATGTTTCACTTGTAATGGAGCTCTTTCTTTTGTTTTCTTTTCATTCATTTTCTGCTGGATATATATGTGAAGCAAATTTTTTGGTCAATTATTTGACAAAGATGCAGTTTGTGTAATTGTCATCTTCTGATTTCTCTGTTACCTTACTCTCAATCTGCTCATTAGTTTTATCATATGAAAATAAGTCGAAGCTTCTCATACTTCATTAGATTTTCAGGATACTCATTATGGTGAAGAGCTCCCTGAAAGAGTTGGGCAACCTGATTGCGAGGTATGATTATTTTTTGTGGCTTAAAATGTATTTATTTCACATTGTTTTACTTATGTTGAATGCTACTTCATGAAACAGAATGTGGTAGGTGTTTTATGGAAGAACATTAGAGTTAAATCAAGGACAAACTTTACCCACCCGATTTTAACAAACATTGACTTCGAAGAATGTTTAACACTAATAAATGCAATTTAATGTGTTTTTAGATAACTCCACAAGAAGTTGCTCTGAAGAAATGGTTTCATATTTTGCTATTCCCCTCTGGCAGAAGTTTCACTTGTTTTTGCGCCTATTTTTGTCCTTTTGTGGTCTTTTGTTCCAATTCAACTATTTTAAAAATATGTTTGGTCTGTTTGTAATATTTAGCACTGAGTGATTACCAGTGCATTGTTAGGAAACCAATAAATGAAGGGTAAGAAAATGAAGTAGGATACCTAATGAACTGGACAAAATATTGAATAGTCTATTAGTGTAGAACATATATCATTTTGTTGTTTTTTGTCCCGTAGAACTTATTTACCAGATTTCTTTATGATGATCATGGCAAAATTTCATTTGGTGCCAACCATGACCTGTCTGAATTGGAAGAGTGAATATATATTCGAACTTGAGTTTGACTATAATACTGGAAATATCAAGTTCAGAAACCGAAGTATAATGTGAAGATTTTGGTGTATTGTTAATGTGAGATATTACATAGTCCATCTTTGTGAGAGATTTCCATTACTATTCCTATGCATTGAAACTTTTTGGGGCATATGACCTACTCCATACAAGTAATTTATGATCTTGTTTGAAATACGCATTGCAGTATTTTCTTAAGACAGGGACATGCAAGTATGGACCAACGTGTAAATATCATCATCCAAAGGACAGGCGGGGTGCCGCTCCCGTGTCATTCAATGCTTTAGGTCTTCCCATGCGTCAGGTTTGTACATTCCGTTGTACCTGAATATTTATTTTTTCCAAACTGATTACTGTTACTGTGTTGATGGAAGATATGGAAGCCATTGCATTTTTTTTTTTTTTTTTTTGATAACAAGCCATTGCATTTTTTTAACATTCTTTGACTGTTGCTTTTAGGAAGAAAAATCATGTCCCTATTACCTGAGAACTGGGTCTTGTAAGTTTGGAGTTGCATGCAAGTTTCATCATCCACAGCATGCTTCCCTTGGAGCTTACCCTGTGGCTGGATCTCCTACCTCAACAATTATTCCTGGATCAGGTTCACCATATTTTGGTGGGTTTCCTGCATGGTCAGTACCAAGAATGTCATATTTATCTGGGCAGGGCCTTCAATCTTATGTGCCTCCTTTTCTATCTTCTTCACAAGGCATTATACCTGCACAGAGCTGGAACAACTACATGGTTAGTTCTGGCAGTTGAATGTCCTGTGGATATATGCATTTGCTGTATTCTTTGGTCTTTATTTTTTACTTCTACCCAGTAGTTATCCTGTCATTTAATATGATGCTGACTGGTACTATTTCTCAGCATGAATGATTGCAAGGGCTATACAGGTGGGTTAATAGTTAGTAAAAATAAAATGAAATGGAGTGCTGTATTGTATACTTGCTTCTGCCTTCTTACCAAAATGTTACTCCATACATGCAAGTTTTGGATAGGTGCATGTAGCATTAGCCAGTAGCTATTTACTTGGAAGTACATTGAATTTTGTTGTCCTATATAGCTAGCTAAGTAAATGCATAAAGATTAGTAAATATTGTTACCATCTTTCACTACCAGATGTCTTAGATACTGCAGGCAACTTTAAAGGACGTGATTTGTGTATAACAATATTGTTTTCCTTAGTCCTTCAACTCCCCATTTATTTTATTTTATTAATTGCCAAGTACATTTGGCATTCATACACTGATTAATATCTGAAGCAGAATGTGCTTTGTTCTTTAGGAAAGCTTCAGATGGTCTTTCCTCTTTGGTGAAAATTATGTCGGGTTTTGGTTACTACATATAGTCAATGGTACTTTTGCAAATTCAATTAAGATTTTTTATTTTGACGGTGATTTTGTTTCTCAAAATAGGGAAGTATGAGCCCTACAATACCTACTGGTTTTCTTGGATCTAATCTTGTTTACGACTACATGAATCTGGGTGAGTCATTTTCTGGGGGGCAGGCAATAAGTTCAACTCTCCCTGATAGGCCTGATCAACCAGAATGTAGATACTTCATGAGCACTGGGACCTGCAAATATGGATCTGATTGCAAGTTCCACCATCCAAAAGAAAGAATTTCCCAATCATTAGTAAATCCACTTGGCCTTCCTGTGAGACCTGTAAGTTTAGTTTCTACTTGATGCGTAGTTACTTAAAATGATTTTGTTCATATTATCCTACCTAATATCTTATGAATATGTTTTTATATTCCATATTGGCTACAACAAGGTCTCTAATTATTTAAATTCCTGCTTCCTATCTTGGTTATCTGCAGGGGCATGCTATATGCTCTTATTATAGAATCTATGGAATGTGCAAGTTTGGTCCAACATGCAAATTTGATCATCCAGTTTTGGCTATCCCTCAGAACTATGGCCTGACCTCGCCTACTCTATCTGTTGTTGACACATCTCTCATTGGTAATCCAAGAGTGTTGTCAACTGTCCAACCATCCGAGACATCTCCATCTAAATTATCAGGTGCAAAGCTTCAGAATTCTGATACAAAAGCTACAAAAGCTGCTACTGAAGAGTCATCCAAAGAAGCTGATACTACATCAAATACCTTACCAGCCTCCTCAGAGTCTTTACATGACTAAACTGCTTGGAGTATGATTTTTCTATGGGACAATTTTTTTTTTCCACATTTTCAGGAGAAATATATCATACATACCATCCATTCCCCCTTTTTCACCTGCAATTCTGTGGAGTTGGATAGTTTGTTCAGAGGTTGTTGTGACAATCACTAGCTTGTGGGGGATGGATGGCATTTTTTGTGGTGAATAAAATGCAGGTAGAAACTTTGACCTTCGATCTTTTTCCTTTTTTCCTTTTTCTCTCTCTTGGGACCAGTTTGGTACACACTTAAAAAATGCGAGTAATACAGTTCATTAAAATTTCCCCCCTATTTTTAAGGGGGTGTCAAACTGTCAATTTGCTCTCTTTTTTCTTAAAACAAAAATTAATATAGTGGTCTTAAATACTTTCATTTTGTGATGATGTCCACTTGAAATTATAAGAACTGACAGGATTCTTAAATCTTGATTTCTCTTGTTTGAGAAGTTTTGGCCAGTTGAGCCTAAAAGAGAGTTTTTTTTTGGAATGGTGGCTACGTGGAGTTTGTAATGCCATGATGTCGGGTAGTTTGCAACAGGGTTCACAAACGCCAATTTGGAGAGAAAAGAACTTAAAAAAATAAAAAGGAAAGAAAACACGAAACCATGAGCATTACGTAGTTGTGGTTGTTGTTGTTGTTGTTGGTGTTTATTAATTATAATTTTCTTTTCTTTGTTTTGAGCGAAGTTATCTGTTGTGCTGTGTTAAACTAGTTAATGGAGCATGGTTTTAATTAACTGGAAATTTGTACGGAAAGTATATTGGCTTCGATGAAAGCCGAATACGAAATTAACATCCTTTGGATTTAACAATTTCTTTTTTACACCTCCTCTTCGTAATCTAGATTCTAACTAGAATATGACAAGCGAGGTAAAATATTTTAAAATTAGTCTATCGATTCAAGTGCATATGTGATTTGGTTTTTTCTTTTATTTTTGCCAGTTTCCATTCAGAGTTTTTAAAATAAAAAAGTATTTATTTTTAGATTAATCTTTTTCAGACATGCATTAAAACTATTACGTTTGAATATAGTTCGTGTTTGGGTATTAACCAAAATTTACAATTTTATACTTCAAATTATTGCATACGTAACCAAAAACTTCAGTTTAAGGAATACCGAGTCTTTTTTGAATATTAGTTGATATGGATTGAATATTAACCGGATTATGTTGCCCGTACTTTGCTCTTCCTTCCTCTTCCCTACACACCTCCTTTGTTATAAATTGACAGATAGATGATTTCGAGTTTAAATTTTTTTGAAGAGCAACCTAAATTGCCCGTAGTTTAGCTATGATAGATGAAATATTTACAAAAATATAAAACCTAAATCACCAACCAACCAACCATTTTGGTTTTTAATTTGATTTTCTACTTTCAAACAGAGATAGCTCATCCCTTTGCCCTTTTGTGTATTTTCTTTTTACTTTAGCTTTGTATTCAGAAGGGTCTCTCTACTTCCTTGACACAAATGATAATCATAAACCATAAACAGCCCAAGTTTCACCCAAAATGAAGTTCAATCGGTTGAAATTTGATCTATGCCTGCCTTATTGCTCAACTCTACTTTTATAATATATAATTTTTATTACTCACTTGGCGTATGCTAGGAAAAAAAGAGTACAAAAGGTAGGAATGTTCCAGATTCTCCATCCAAAATCGAAATTAACGATTGCTACAAGATTCTATCTGCTGTGTCTATTCTAGCAAATGGAAAACTTTATGATTCTTTATATCTTTCCTAATGGTATGTTAGGTCTATAAATTATTAACACATCATTGATTATTGTTCATCATTAAATTCCTAGAACCTTTAACTATTAATCAATTATATATTAATAAGAGAAAAACTACTCTTATGCAACATAAGAGTAGTTTATCTCCTGTAGATCTATCAAAAATCGTGACACTCTTTTTTTCTTTTTTTTCTTTTTTCTTTTGTAAATAATGGACTCCACCACACGTGTCTCTAAAGATATCTTCTCTCATATAACATGAGATTAGATGAATCCCATTAATAATTATAAATTACTAGCATAATGTACTGTACTTGAATTGAATGCATGCATCGAGTTTATTCAAAGTATTTCTCGTTTAGAATATACCACGAGAGAATAGCAATAAACTCTTGGCTTCTTCAATGTTCTCATTTCACACCACCACCGAATATATAGAGAGAGACCTTTTACATCAATCTATCATAGTGATTGCTTTTTTTTAAAAAAAAAGGTGGACCTGATGGGAATAAAAACCAGATAGTGTCTTATCCCTTTCTTATTATTGCTCATGTCGAAATTAATTATCCTTTGATTCAAAATTTCCAACTCATTTGGTATCACTTGTATTGCATCCATTTCTTAGAATTTGTTTGATGCACTATGGACTACTCCAATTGCTTGATAACAAGCTTTAGCTTTTTGTACATAATGAATTGCAATGCCTTCCGTCTGTGTAACAGATTCAAGAAACTTCCTCATCTCTTTGTTCCATTTCCCTAAGTATCTACTAGTGTTTCAGGTAAATAAATATTCAGTTTATGTTAAAAAGTAAGCTTCGAACTGTGCTTCGATTACCTGGGTATAATTGTTATTTCACAATTTTGAAATTGGTTGGGATGGAAATGTAGTTCAAATTATATATGGGTTTCTTATTCTTCTAAATTGGCACCGTACATAAATAAATCTGTAAGCTGTAAACTTCAAAATTCTTAAATAAACACGAGTAAGTTCTTATACAAAATAAATTTTGTCCTCTATAATCTATACTTCTATTTTAGGCATAGGCCTAAGTAAGATTATGAACAATAATTGAACACTATATTTCCATGGCATCACTTTCAAATTTAGTATGTAATCTGGATAAATATTATATAAATACAAGACCCAGAATTAAAGTCTTCACAATGAAGCAAAGCCTTAGTCCAAGAAGGCTGCAAGCTGCATAGTATTGAAGACTCCATGACAGCAAGCTCCACCATAATAAATACATGCTGCTATCTCATCTCTTTAGCACCAAGACTATCTCAGCAAGCACCTTAACATTAATGGCTACATGACAAATAGGCTCCTTAATATTAAAGCAAGCTCATCAATATTGAATACCTTATCTGTCTGAATACTTCACCTCCAAGTATGCCTCACCACTTGCAAAGATGGTCATCCCCTAAGCTGCTCATCTCTCCACTATAAATACATGTATCAATACTAAGGTACATCATCTTCTCCTACATAATAAAACCTGCTTGAACCATAACTTACTTGAGCGTCGGAGTGTCTTGCAGGTACACCCCCCTCGCGTTCCATCGAAGACCCATGGGATAAAGCGGCCAAACTGCAAGATGCTTTGACCCAAGGAGGTTTCAAGCCTTTGTGTAGAGGAAGATCACATGATCGGCCCAGTTGTAAAGATCTGGTCTGATCAATATGTATAAATGATAAGCGCCACTTCAACCCAAAACCTTAAGGTATTAGGTGAGACTAAGTTAATTATTTTATATCTCTCTAACACACCCTATCATGCAAGATCCCTTTGGGCTTGAAGCGTGGATATTACACAAGCCCATTTTTGGTCTGCCTTGTGCTGCACAAGCCCATTTTGCCTTAAGCTTTTCTTAATTCCACCTGAAAGTGGGGGCGGTGAGAATCGAACTCAAAGGTTGGGTAGTTGAGAATCTGAGTCCTCAACGCACCAAATTGATTAGCATCCGATCCCATAAGGAAATGGTAAACATTTTCCTTTTCAGCTTCATTACTATTATAAATTGCCACGGCACATTTGGCTCCACACGTACAAGAAGGTTGGTTTTTGCTTGCATCTATCTCATCCCAAATAGCCCTCAGACGTGTGTAGTAGGTGCCAACCTTGGTTCCATCTTGTCTGATATTAGCAAGACTGGTGCGGAGTTGATATAGTCGTGGTATATTCGCAACTGAATATCGCTCTTTCAGGTCTTCCCAAAGTTCCTTTGCTGTGTCGAAATAATGAATGTAAGGCTGCAACTGCGAATCAATTGTATTATGGATCCAGCTATTAAGCATCGAATTGCATTGTGTCCAAGCAAAAGACTCATCGGCTTCACTTTCTGGAGGTTCTTTCACATCACACTGATAAATCCAAGTTTGTTCTTGGCTTTGAGGGCGTTTTTCATGGCCTTAGCCCACACATCATAATTTGTTTCTCCCTTCAACACCACGTTGGTCAATAAAATATCTGGTCCATCTGCATTGCTCAGATAGAAGGCTGATCGCTGGTCAGAAATTGCCAGCTTCTTTGCGGTACTGGTCCCTTGAGGGTTTGCATCGGACATGGCTTCGCTTCTCACTTAGAGTTGTTAGCGGAAGTCTTGCTCTGATACCAAGATAAGCGCCACTTCAACCCAAAACCTTAAGGTATTGGGTGAGGCTAAGTTATGTTTTGAAAAGTATAAACGTGTGTACTTATTTTTGCCTCTTAATATTTCTCAAAACATTTGGATTATAGTTTGTAAATCATGAATTGACCTAAGCGATAATATCTCTTTACAACTATTTTGTTAACATTCAATCAAAATTAAATTAATAACTCTTAATTAATGATATTTTATTAATGTTGATTTGATTTTAATTTAAGAATAACAAAATAATTATAAAGAGGTTATAAGAATGAGCAAGTTAAAGGGAAAACCTTCATCTAGAAACTATTATCAAAACATGTTATTGATCTTCCTAGGTCGCAGCATGACTTTTCTTCCATTAAGATATTCAAAACTTTACATTTGACATTTAGCATTTAACTTTTAATACACTTAAATAATCCAATAAGTAAAGCTATTTAGAATGCTTAAAAACACAATATATCAGTATTAAATACATTTATCCAACATGTTGCGACTTTAAATTTGAGCCCTCCATAACACAAAAGGAGTAGTTTTAGTTTCAGAATCACACTTAAAAAGATTAAATACATTTTAATTCTCACTTTATCTTAAAAAATCAAGATGAAAATAATTTTTTAACTATCTTTTTACACCTACCATTCTTGATTGTTAGATAGTCCTTACTATGCTTTGACATGAGTTTAAAAAAACAAAACAAAATCAGAATTAGGCCAAACAATGTTTGATTTATCATTGAAAGGATTCAACAAACTAAACAAAGTTGGAGTCGTGATTAGTTCTATTTATAAAAATTAGTTAGCAGCTCCTACAATTTTGAAAATTTAACGAGACATTAAAAATGAGATTGCTATAAGTATAAAAATCAATTATAATATCTCTTGAAAGAAAATCGAAACCTTACCCATAACATAATGCTAAATCAGACTACTCGGTTTAAAACATCTTAATTTGCAAAACGCAAATGCTATAAATGGTTGCTCCCAAAACTAGAGCCAATATGGTGTCCTTAACTCTCGATGACAATAACAAGAATCATTACGACAAGTATATGCCCCATATGCCTAATATTTCCATGTAAACCCCAATCCCATTTCCATGGCCATGGCTCCCCCCACAATAATCACATTGGGGGCATATACACATAAAAATAAAGTCAACAAATACCATCTATGTCACTCCCATTCTTATTTCCTAATGCAACGACAAAGGGTAACCATGTCATTCCACAAACGTATAATCTACTGGAGCAAATCAGGCAAAACCACATGGGACCCCAAAATTAAAAAAAAGAAAAAGAAAAGAAAAGAGAATAGAAAATTTTGTGTGTTTTCAAAAAAGAGAGAGATGGAGAAGAAGCAAGATTAAGAATTGCCCTTGAAGGAGGTGGTGGCTGGTGTTTGAAGGGTTGCTCCTATTCCAAATAAAGACTTCAACTTTTTTTCTTCAAATCACACACCCACCACCTTCACCTTCACCACCACCTTCACCACCACCACCACCACCACCCATGCGCCGAGGCAGAGCCGCAGATCCAACGCCACCACCACCGCCACCACCAACCGCCGAAAACCCCGTCAAGGAAACGCGATTCCGCGGCGTTAGAAAGCGTCCATGGGGCCGATTCGCCGCGGAGATCAGAGATCCGTGGAAGAAGGCTCGCGTTTGGCTCGGCACATTCGACTCCGCCGAGGACGCCGCCAGAGCCTACGACGCCGCCGCCCGCTCCTTCCGCGGTCCCAAAGCCAAGACCAACTTTCCCTTCGCTAACCCTGAAATCGATCAGATTCCCCTCTTTCATCATCACGATTTCCAAGACGACCACGTGAACCGGTTCTCAAAGTTCGACCCGGTTCACGTGAACCGCCCCACCTCCAGCGGGATGAGCAGCACCGTCGAGTCCTTCAGCGGTCCTAGGGTTCCGGTTCCGTCCTCCTCCACCACCGTCCCCAGGGTCCGTCCTCGCAGACCCGTCAACCCCGTTCCCGTCGACGATTGCCACAGCGATTGCGATTCTTCCTCCTCCGTCATCGACGATGAGGATTGCGTGCTCACCTCTTCGTTCCGGAAAACCCTACCTTTCGATCTGAACCTTCCACCGGCGCCGCCGGCCGATGACGACGCCGATTTCACCGCCGACGAGCTCCTAGCCACCGCCTTGTGTCTCTGACGCGGGACGACCGATGATGGATCTGTCTCTGGTATAATCGCCTGATTTTCTATCTTGTTTTCTCGGGAAAATGGTTTTCTGGGAAAGTGGGGGCTCACTGGATGGTTGAAGAGAATCATTTTTTCCCACTCTCTTTTTTCTTAATATTTAAATTCCACTTTGTTTAGTCCCGAAAATTGGAAGAAGAAAAAGAGGGAGAAAAAAAATTCCACTTTGTTAGATTATTATGAAGTTGTAGAGTAATAGGCACAGCCATCAGTGTTATGTGATAAATGAAGGTTTCTTGAAGTTGATGGTTGTGTCTGTGTTGTTGTAAGTTATTTGGATTATATCTCATAGCATTGGACCTGATCTGAGAGTTCTTCTGCTTTCTCTCTCTCTTTCTGGATCTGCTTCTTACCAATTAGAACTTAACTTTTTTTTTTTTTTTTTTTTATTTCTTCTGTACAAAAATTATGGCAATCAGATGAGAAAATAAATTACATTCTACTTGCACTTCTGCACACTTTGCTTGTTGTTGATCTTAATATTGTCTAATCTGCATCGCATTTCATTGCCTAGTTTGCATTGCATTGGCATTGGATTTTGAGTGTGGTTGAGTTTGATGTGCAACAATGCCACAGTGGGAAGGTTGAATTGAAATGCAATTTTATCCTATATAATCTTTTCTCTGAGCATCCTCTGGTAATCTTATTTTTGAGATAAGAAAAAACCCTTTGGAGTTTTGAGTTTTTCCAACAAATCTTTATGTTGTAAATGGTTTGAACTTTGAAGCATGATCACTTCTTCGGAAATTATCCTGGAATACTCTTATGTATATGATGTTTGATATTGCTACCCCCATATCTAAACTATTTTTTATTTAAATTACTCCTTTTCCTTTTGCTAATCAAATTTATAATTTAGAGAAATTATATAGAAGTTAATTGAATAGGAGTTAGAATAGACACAATGTAATGGCAGGAGAGACTCCCAGAAATATATGGAAAAATAAGATCCTATATTTGATAAGTAATGATTAGCATGGATCTTGAATAATTCATGCTCAAATACCACACGGTATGGATGTTCACGAACTTCACACCTGTGAGAAAATCACTCAAACCCTTTATTCTCGCTCAACAATTTTGGACTAACTTTTTTAATTAAAAAAAAAAAAAAGGTGTTGGACTAAGTTATCTTCGCCTATGCAAGGCTTTTTATTGTGAGAATGAATAATAACTCTTGTTGCAAGCCTCTGGCTTCGTTTAAGTTATATATTTAATTGAGACCATAAAATTCCATGACATGATTTGAGGATCAAGCCTTTTGCCGCACGGTGTTCCAATATATGTTTTAGATTGATACCTTCTTGACAACCTATTGATCAGACAAATAAAAATGTGTTGTATATAGAGAATTCTCTCGGCTTTTTATTTGAACCAAAACTTTCTTCAGAGATGATTGGCTTCTAAAGAGTAAGTGGATACTATGCTATTGCTGCCTTTGTGACGGAATGTCCATATTAATAGCAATAGGTTATACTTTTTTTTTTTGGTAATAGGTTATACTTTTACTACAATTCTTCTCAGTATCAGTAGTGCTAATGTTACCTAAAATGATTCACCAAAATTAAATTGTTACCTAAAATTAATGGTCGGACAGCATCTCTTAGTTTAACATCTTTTGAAGTCTTTCTGTTAATTTTTTTTAGGGTTTAACTTTTTTGCAATTGTTACAGAAAAGTTTATTTGTCACTCTCACGAATAAAACAGTGGATCCCACAAAAAAGCAATGGGCCTGTGCAATAGATTTCGTTTAAAAAAATTTGTTTATATACTTGGGGAATATATTGTGTGTGACAGATAAAAACTTCTGCAACAATTACAGATATATTTTTTCTTTTTCTTTTTTATTAAAGGAGAAGGATGCGGAGCCGGTGATTTGTTCCCAAGTAGTATTATGAATTTTTACTTTCTTCCGTTTATGACAGGAAAAAATATCTGTTATTAAATATTTTTTAAGGAAATAAGAAGATACTAAAAACTGGGATTTTTTTTTCTGTATTGGTATGGATATTGCAATCTTTTTCTTTTCTTATAACCAAAAGAATCCAACTTTCTAACAATTGTAAAAACGAATAATCTTTTACATCCTCAATCCTCATCAATGATAAAATTTTAACAAATACATATCAAAACTTACGATAAAACAAGAAGGAACAAAAATGGTTATTCATGATTTAAAGTATATATAAAGCTGTTTGAAAAAAAAAGTATATATAAAGCTAACCTCAAACAATCCGGTTTAATTAACGGGCTTGAGAACTTTACCGGTTTTAGGGGATGTTTGGTTCAAGTTTTTGACGATGATTACCGGTAATCCTTCTTTGGTAAATGTAATTACCACGTTTGGTAGAAGGAATAAATTACGATTCCCGGCTATCCAAGGATTACCGGTAATTTGATTTATAAAGAAAAGTCACTATTCAGATTACCAAAAATAATATGGTAATTCGGAATACCAATCAGAATACCAAGTAAAGAGAAAGCACAACAATAAATTTTGAGACAAAAATACCCCAATACACATAAAAATCTAGACCCAATCTATCAATTACAAAAGTAAAAATAGTTTGGGGTTATTTTTGTAAAATAACCTCATATTCCAAGTCATATTTCGTTCTAAACCAAATATGGAATCAGTAATTTTTACCCAATATTCCCAGTAATATTTTGGCGAACCAAACACCTCTTTCGTAAGATTCCAAGTAAACTCAATTTCTACTGAATTCCCATTAATCATGATTCCCGGTCACCAAAAAATTTCTCTTGTACCAAACACACCCTTATAGTCTTATCCAACTCGAATTAGATGAATAATTGATCAACTGGTAAAAAAGTTTAGAAAAATATATGTACAAAATCAGGAGAAAAAAAAGAAACCAATCTTATAAAAGTTTTCTCGAGGAATAATACTAGTTACCTCACCTCACCAAAAAATAAAAAAAATTAGTTACCTCATATTTGAAGTTTTCATTATCTCATCACTTAAAGGTTTTATTTTTTTTATTTTTTTTGGGAGGGGGTAAATTGATCACTTACATATTGATTCTGTTACTTCACGTTGATATGAGGTGACATGTTTGTTGTTAATATGTACTAAATATTATTTTATTTCTACACTTGCCAATTAAATTCCAAGAGTAATATATTTTTTACGGAATGTGTATCACTTCATATATAACATAAAAAATGCTTAAAGGAAGAGACATTAATAGTTTATATAATTAAAAATATTTCTCTTTGGACTGATGAGATCTCAAATGTTTTTTTTTTGGAGAAAATCTCAAATGTTTGTTATCTAGGCTCTTCCCTACTGTGATGACTGCTGTGGCGATGAAAGAAGGGAGTGATGCATCTACAAATTTAGAGATGGCACGAGAGAGTGGGAATATTAGAGAAAGATGCTATCTAGATCTCATCTCTAACTACAAGGTACTTCATCACTTTAAGTTAGAGATGATGCAAGAGAGTAGAGAATATTAGAAAAATATTGTGTGTATATTTGAAGAGGTTGAGAGCTCCTTAATCCTTATAAATTACCGCTTTGCTTTGCGCCAAATCTGCTAATATGAATTGAATCTGAGTTAAAAGAAAAAAGTCCAAAATTCGTAGAAAATTAGTCCCTTAATTATTATTTCGAATTACTCAGCTTTTTCTTTGTTGTGTAATAATAGTTGAATTTGTTGGAAGAATATTGGATGATAAATAATATTAGGTTTCAATAAAAAAAAAAAATTTAAATTTCAATGTAATTTATTTTGAAAAAATTCAAATGTTATGGACAGAAAATAGAGACAAAAATATCTGTCACCAACTTAAACGAAAAACTTTGTCATTTGGAGATAGAAACGATTTGTTACTAACAGAGACAGAAAAAATGCCATCACTAACAGCCAAATTTTATAACTTTTAGTTAGTGCAACTCTTTGTATTTATCCCTATAAACCCAAACGTTATGTTTTGATCCGACTCCAACTCCACATTAGGTCTTGTCAAGGCAATTTTACATTAAAAAAAAGTTTTATAAATTAAGACAAAATCCCTTCAACTATAAAGTCTAATTGTTATGAGTCCAATAATTAGTTTACTCAAAATTCACTCAATCCATGACCCATATTCTTAGTCAACTTAGTTTCCTATTATGCCTATCAAATCATAATCACAATTTGAAGGGAAAGAAGAGCAGAAATCTCTTTGTAATTTTCATCGCCAGATTTTTAACATTTTAACCTATATCCTGGGAATATTATTCATGTAGAACAATCATATAAGTTTCCACTTTTAATTGAATTTGATTGAGATATCTAATATTCTTTTTGGATTTTCTTTCAAATAAGTCAAAAATATGTATGATTTGAGAATTTTTTTTAACCTTTTTAACACATATCCTGTAAAAATAATTCATGTACGTAGAATAATTATATAAGTTTCCTCTTTTAATTGAATTTGATTGAGATATCTAATATTCTTTTCGAATTTTCTTTCAATTAAGTCAAAGATATGTATGATTTGAGAAAAATTTATAGAATGGTCTCTTATACTCTCTTGAGAGACGTATAGTACACCATTGACCATACCTCCAATGCATCACCACGCTCTCCACCAAGAGAGTCATTAGAAGAAGAAAATAGAAGGATCACCAACAACATAGACAGAAACAAAAAAAGCAAAGGAGAACGCAACAAGAATATTGATATAGGAACAAACGTACAAGGTAACTCCAAGCATGCTTTCTCATTATTTGGGTTTATGAAAGGACACAAAGAGAGTCATCATGTTATACATAATAAGAAACATAAAGAGGAGCACAAGTGTCATGCGATCCATGCACTAAAGAAGTATTATAGTTTTGCTGGGCTAGGCCCTCCATTTTTACCAAAAAAAATAAAAAAATAGAAGTACTTTTGTCCGATGCCAAAGTGTTACAGAGGAAAAAGAAAGGAAATTCAAGTCATGGACATGCTGCTTGTTCTTCTTCTTGCTCTGTGAATAAGGAAAAACAACATTCACCACGTACCAAAATCAATTTGAACGAAGTTGTTTCCAAAAAATAGGAATCCTCTACATGCAACCACTCCCCTTCCTCATTCTGGAGAAGCCGTTGAAGCTCACATTGCTTATTGGTATAATTGTACTAAAAGAAGAAGAAGATAGAGTAGCTCAAATGCTCAATATTGTTGATGAATTGGAGGATTTTTGTTTTGTTTCTTTTTCATTTTCTTGAATTATTTATTTTCATTTAGAGGAATTAATGACATTTCTAATTACAAGTTGTCTATTTATATTTTATGATGAAATTGTTTAGAGATGCGTTTTATAATATGAATATATATTTTGACAAAAAATTAGAACAGTAAAATTAAAAAGACAAAGTGTGAGTACAGGGGAAAAAATAATCTTCGTTAATTTTCATTAGAATAGAAAAGAATAGTATATTCTATAGTAAAATTGACTAGATATTTATTTAATGATATTATTATAGACATATTTTTGTTTGAAATTATAACAATTTCTATGAAAGAAAAAAGAAATGGTACTTACTACTAAAGACATCTATAAGTTTTGAAGGGGGGCGAATATTAAATGTATGACTAAAAATAAAAATAATATTGCCCAAGGATTATACAAATTAATGTGAAGGGGACAAAATGCCCCCACTAACCCCTCACCCACTCCATCACTTATAGGAGGTGAGTCCAAATAATTATATTATTTTAATAAATTATTTTGAATTTATTAAAAATAGTTCAGAAATCAATTTTAAAAATATAGAAATTATTTTTGTCTATTTATATCATATTCCGACATTATGTGATCCATTTCAAATATAGGTTGAAAATTGAGATGATACAGTCATATCATATTGTTTGTCTAATGTGCATCAAGCACAAGATATGATATGAACTTTTCAAGCTCTTATCATTTCTTACTCCTATTCTGTTCATTTATCCAATCTGCCCTTAACATATCCTGTAAACCAAACTAACTCTTAGGGTGTGTTTGGTACAAGAGAAATTTTTTGATATCCGAAATCACGATTAATGAGAATACAATAAGAAATTGAGTTTACTTGGAATGTTACGAAAAAACTGTTTGGTTCGCCAAAATATTACCGGAAATATTGGGTAAAGATTACTGATTCTATGTTTGGTTCAAAATCAAATATTACTAGGAATACATACGGGGTTATTTTACAAAAATAATCTCCTGACTATTTTTACTTTCGAAATTGGTAGACATACGATACAGCCACAACCGTTGGGATATTTTAGTCTCAAAATTTGGTATCCTGATTTCCTACGGGGTAGATTTATGGATTACCACATTATTTTAGGTACTCTAAATAGTAATTTTTCTTTGTATATGACATTACTGGTAATTAAAAATAACCGGTAAAATGATTTTGATTACTTGTACCAAACATGTCCATTTATGTTTACCAAATAAGATTTATCAGTAATCTTTCAAATAACTTTGTATCAAACGCATCCTTAATCTATCACTTATCACTTGTGGAGTATTCTGCTTAGTCTTGATGTGCGCTCGTTTTAAAGTCTAGATCTGAAAATCTAGTGTTCTTGCTTTAAAAACAGCTATAAATTTTTACGAGAAGAGGGTTATACTAGTTAATGGTGATGCTTTTAGAGAGCCTTTATTGGATACATGTCTTTCTACGTGAGATTTGATATTTTCTTGCAATATATTATTAATATATTTATCTTTTCCTAAATTATTAAGGAAAATATTTGTATGAAACAATTTTGTTATATACAAAAAAAAATAGGGGGGACTCATTTTTTTCTTTCTCTCCCTTTTCCTTAGTGGGTTACATTCATTTTTTTTATTTGTTGTATGAGATAACATGAGAAGCATATTCCCCAATTATTAATTTACTATTCATTCCCAATAAATGTTGATGTAATTAATAGACTGTTTTTTTTTTTTTACTTATCAAAACATTTTTTATTATATGAGAAATTCTTAAATATTCGTCAGCAAAAAATCTCTCTTACCATATATTCTTAAATTTTAAAATATTTATTTACACTAATGTTAATACTTAATTGTCTTTTATTATAATAACTCTATATGTATTATTGTAAAATTAATTTCGCAAAACAATTAAAGTTATAATATTACCTTAAAAACCTATAAAAATGGTATAATCTACTCTTTTATTTTTTTGTTCTCTTTTTCCATAATTTCGTTTATCATGTAGATTTTGTCCCACAAAAATCAACGGAGATTATATTGGTTGTAAAGGTGATAAACTTTTTTGGTGGTAAATATATCCTGTCCCTTGTTTGTAAGCATATAATTTATTATTATTATTACTACTACTTTTATTATTGTTTGTTTTGGTGCATGTTGGTAAAGCTCAAACTTAACATTTTTGGTTAAATAGTGAAAAATTTAGCCGTTGGTAAATCAAAAACGATTTCATACTTTATTTTTATTTATTTTTTGCTTGTTTTGGTTTCACGACCATACAAATAACATGATCTTTGACTTTTAGTGAGACACACACTCTCTTAGTACTTTGATATTTGAGTGGTCTTTATTCTCAACAAGTCATCTTTTTAGCCTCCTCAATACTAAATAGCCCATCTTTTTAGCCTTCTCAAGAAGCCATCTTTTTATTGACTCTCATGCGATCAAATAAATTGGATTCCTATTTAGTATTGAGAAGGCTAAAAAAATGACTTCTTGAAAATAAGGACCACTCAGATATCAAAATACTGAGAGGGGTGTGTGTCTGACTGAGAGTCAAAGATCATGCTATTTGGATGATCGTGGAACCAAAACAAGTAAAAATAAAAATAAAAATAAAGGATATGATATTGTGACACTCAAGTTATGTTACACCCATGTGACACCTAGTCAATCTCACCATTAGATCGCTTATGTTGATCCAACGGTTATATTTATTTTCATCTTTGTATGGTCATGATTTCCCAAATTTAAAGTGAAATCATAACCATACAAAGGTAGAAATAAATATAAAATATTAAATTTGGGAAATCATGACCATATAAAGATGGAAATAAATATAACCGTTAGATCAACATAAGCGATCTAACGGTGAGATTGACTGGGTGTCACATGGGTGTAACATAACTTGGGTGTCACAATATCCTATCCCTAAAAATAAAGCATAAAATCATTTTTGATTTACGAACGGCTAAAATTTTCTATTTAACCAAAAATGTTAAGTTTGAACTTTACCAACATGCACCAAAACAAGCAATAATAATAATAATAATAATAATAATAAAGAGTTGGATTTTGCAATTTTCCAATTTGAAATACATGAATATTCTCCGGTTTTCTTTGCCAGAGGACCACAGGAAAATATGTGTTTGCCATGTATATTTTAGTATTACAATTTTCCAATGGTTGCATGAGATAATATGGCAAACATATTTTCCAATTATTAATTTACTATTCATTCCCGATAAATGTTGCTGTAATTGGTAGACTGTTTTTTTTTTTTTTTTTTTTTTTTTTTACCTTTTCTCCTTGTCAAAACGTTTTTTATTATTTAAGAAATTCTTAAATATTAGTCAGCAAAAAATTTCTCTTACCATATATTCTTAAATTTTAAAATATTTATTTACGCTAATGCTAATATTTAATTGTCTTTGATCAGAATAACTCTATATGTATTATTGTAAAATTAATTTCGCATAAAAATTAAAGTTATAATATTACCTTTAAAAACCTATAAAAAAATGATATAATTTACTCTCTTATTCTTTTTGTTTCCATAATTCCGTTTATCATGTAGATTTTGTCGCAATTATCATTATTTGTAAGCATTGTTATTAAAAATTAGTCTAAAAATATAAAAAATGTAGAAACAATGGAAACGTAGTGCAAAAACGTGTTAAAATGTAAGTAGAAATGGTCCTTAATAGAAACAAGTAAAAATTCCGTGTAGAAACATAAAAGTGGTAGAAACACAAATTTTTATGTTTTTTTATTGTTTTTACTTAAACTTTATTTTTTTTTATTTTTTTTTTTAAAAACCTATTTTTCATTTTTTAAAATTCAATTTTCTCTTTTAATATTTTTGGACTTCTGTTTTATATAATTATGTGACTTATACCTTTTAAATATGAAGTTATTTATTAAATTTTGAGTAGTGACTTATTTTTTTTAGATTCATATATATATATATATATATATATATATATATATATATATATATTTGGGTTATACAAGTATTATGTCAAAGGATTCTAGGTGATTTTCGCGTAGACAAAAAGTGAGGAGAGATAAAATGATAGAAAAAGAGAAAAAAAAATGGTGGACCCCACGTTTGTATTGTTTGTGCAGGAAAGTAGTTTTTTTTCCCTGTTACATGATCTTTATATTACCCTTATAATTTTGTATATTGACTTTAAGTAGTAAAAACTTTAAGTTACGTGTCGTTTCTATCGCTCCTTCCATTTCTACGTAGAAACTCGAATTTGATTACATTGTTTGTAAGCATATAATTTATGAGTTTTATGTTTATCATGTAACATAACACAACTCCACTTTCCTACACATACATTAAAGAGGTGGGGTCCACATGTTTTTTTTTTTTTTTCTCTTTCATCATTCCACTTCACTTTCTTTCTCCCTTTTGTTATGTGTATTGAAAACAAAACTTAAGTTATGTAACATAACATTAATAAAACCCATAATTTATTTCTGTGTAGCACGAATGTTAACCTAATTACTACTATTCATGAGCAGCATATATTTTATGGAAAAAATATTTATCTTTTAAACGATGGTTATTTTTTTTCTGTTAAAATTAGTGTTTTTTTTATTTAAAATTTAAATTAAAAAAAAATCTCACTTTCTCCTATGATTTGCATTGTCTTCATCTTTCTCTAACTTAAAATAATACAATTCTATATAAGAAGAAACACTAATTTCATATTTTATTCACCATCATAGAAAAATAATTATGTCAAATTTTTTTTTTAATTTTTAATGATTTTTTTGGTAGAATAATATTTCTATCAATATAAATTCAAAAGTTGAGATACTTGATTCGTGTATCACCCTGAACATAGTAAAACGGAAGAAGAGCTCTCACGTGAGTTTTTTCTTTTGTTGAGTTGTGTGTCTCCACTCTCCATTTGTTTTTCTTCCGTAAGAACTCCAAAGATTTGAGCAAGTTTTCATCTTGATTATTGAGAATTGGTGTTGCTGATGCTCTAGTTGTGGGTTTTGTTCAAAATTTCAGAATCGTAATGGAAAATTCAGACTACGACGAGCCCGACAAGAAGAGGCCTCATCTCATTTCTGTTTCTTCCCGAATGCCCCGAAACTCAACCAATGCTTCTACCAACAACAAAACCGTAACCCCTTTATCTCTCTCTACTTAGTTATGTATTCATGTATATATGTATGTGCTGCTTTTATGTGTCTCATTGATGTCTTATGCTCTGTTGATGATCTTATTCTGAATTTTAATGTTTGAATTGAATTGGGTGTGAAATTGGATTCTTTTAGCTGTTTGGTCTTGTGGGCACTAAATAAATTGGCTCTCTAGTATAGAGGGGTAGCAATTGTTTTGTGTACTTAGTGCTCACTTACTACTGATTAGGGCTGTGATAGCAAGGATGAAATTGGTGTCTTGCTAATTGTTTTATTATATTATATCTAATTCGATGATGGGGTATTTAGGTTGGAGCTTCATGTTGTGCTCAATCTTTCTGAAAGGGATGTTTTCATGTCATTGAGAATCCTTCTTTAAAGAAAAAAATAGTATATTTTGAAACTGAAAAATATGTGTGAGCAAGGGTTTTTTTTGGGCTTTGAGGTGCTTGGAAAGAGTTGAAGAGGGAAGAAAAAGCTGTTTGGTTTCTTGTGTTTTCATCATTACAACTCTATCTGTGTGGCAACAGGATTTTTTCATTATGAATTGTTTCTATGTTTTACTTGGATAACGGGGAATGATTATGCTCCCGCCAGGCTGATGAAGGAGTCTTACAGTTCCAGAATCAGCAGCTTGTTCAACAGATAGACATCCAAAAACATGCTTTGCATGATCTTGAAGAAAAAATTAGAGAATTAAAAGAAAGGCAAAACTCTTATGATGATTTGTTGATTGCATTGAATCAACTCTGGATTCAGGTTAATCTTTATTATTGTGCTCTGGTTTCTGTCGCCCTTTTCTCTTTTCAGTTTATTATTTTCCTCTTTTGAAAGTAACTGATGCACCTAGAATATGGAAAAGAAAAAGTAAGGAAACACAATCAACATTAAACACGCCTAAAATATGAAACAATTAAACTAAAAATGAAAAATAAGCCTAAAAACCTAAATAGGATACGTGCACTATTTTAATCCAATTTTAGGTGCATTAGTAACACTAGCATAAAAAGTAGCCCATGTTCTGGCAGCCCTATGGGGGCTCGGTGGGTGGAAGGTGAGGCACTTTTTGTTATATTCCTTTAGGATATGCACGTTGGTTTAACTTTCTTATTTGCTTTTCTAGCTGGTTGATGATATGGTTCTTCTTGGGATACGAACTGGGAGAGGCAAAGATGCATTGCAAACTTTGACTTACCTTGATAATCCTCAAGGTACTTCCATTGTTTGTGTGTGTGTGTGTATGGTTTTTTCAAGTTCTTTCATGCAGTATTAAAAAAATTGAAGATATTGACTTGACTTACTTGTTAGGTTCACTTCCTTCGTGTGCCGCGGAGGATATATTTTTATGTAGATTAATCCAGAAAGAATCTATTCAAGTAAGTAATAATGATGAGATCATTAATTACGTTGAGGAAGCCCTTGCTTTTCGTCGGTCATCTACATGGGAGTTGTTAAAACTCCTTCAAGATACCATTGTTGATCAGATGGAAAGAACTAACAGTATTGCCCAGATTTTACATGGAGATTTATCTTCAGAAGGTAAAAACATTTGATTTGCTATCCATTTGTTGAATTATATTGTTTTGGTTAACGATTGATTAAATATTTTTCTACCAGATAATATGGATGTAGGATTGTTTGAAGATTTTTGTATAAATGATCTATTATTGTTACTTGTTCTCGGGTTTACAGATGCTATTATCCAAATGTCTAACGTTGATGATATGACGAAAGAGGAGGCAAATAGTTTACGTGAAGTTATTGATGCTCTTCATGTGAAGCATAAAGAGTACACTGCTAGTATTCAAAATTATATTGGCGAGTGTTCACAAGATCAATCAGACATTAAACACCTTGGAGGTTTCTGAAATGTTCCATTTCTTTTTTGTTTTAACTACATTTATCATGAAATTTAGAAAAACTAAGTGTGAACTTTAATGGTCTTAATTTTCATATGTTCTGGGTTTTATATGATTAGTGGCATGGTTGAATAAACAAAGGTTTCCTTGTGTTTACTGATCTTTTTTTAGTTATGAATGATAATATTAAATGATGTATGACTAAATCCTCAATTTGATACTTGAAAGATGTTTGGAGCATCAATTTGTTCCTCGAAAAAATTAGCAACAATGATTTTAGTTGCTGCATGACATCATTTTGGTCCCTGTAAACAGTAACTTCTTGGACTATTTTATGTCAAAAGAATATCATTCGAGGACCAAATTGATGTAATAATCTTTTAAGGAACAAATTGAATGTTCTGAAAATCTTTTGAGGACCAAAATGGTGCCTTACACTAAAATTTTGTGCTATATCTTACTGCTATAATTGTACATTGAATATCTTTGGCACATTGTTTGTTTCTTGTTGCTTGCATTATTAGTTAGTTTATTTATTCAAAATAATGTTCATTTGGCACATCTTATTTGTAGATGAATTGTACTATTTCATACGATAAATAAAAGGTTATGTCTAGATTGAAATTGGGAAATGTATTGTCTAGTCAATCTGATGTTAAGTACAAGCAGAAGTATATATTTTTAGCGTTACTTTGATTAGATCAGCACTTTGCAGTAGGGATGGTCATTTAAAGTTCATGACAAGCCATGCAGTTTTGAATGATCTGGTCTTGTTTAAAAACTATTGAAAATGGAAGAAAATATCTTATAGTGTGTTTGTAATGAAATATTTTGAGAACTGATTTGATTTATAATTGGAATTTTATATTTGGAAAACTATATAATAGGAATTGTTTTGATTTTGAAATCCTTCTGATTTTAGCTGAGTATATATAGAAATCCACTCAAAATTGGTTGACTTAAGTGGATTTGATTTGATTTAAGTTTTAATTGTTTGAATTGACATATTTACCGGTATTAGTCAAGTCATTTAACCTATTTTAAGTATGGACAATAAAATAAATTACTAGTATAATTCAATTTAATTCATCTTTAATGTGTTCCAAACATTAATTTTGATTTTTATTCAAATCCCATTTTATTTTATTTTTCTTTTTAATTGTTTATTGCTATTTTTTTAATTTCTACTATTATTTATATATTTTTATTTTTTTAATTTTATTTATCCTTTTTTTGTTTGTTTTAGTTTTTGTTTTTTCCCAATCTTTTCGTACTTTTCGTTTGGGTTCATCTGCCAGTGACCCTAACTAATTTGGGATAAAGATGATGTTGATATTGAGTTCCAAACATGAGAATTAATTAATAAATCAAATCAAATAAATTCTTATTGTAAATTATTCCAAACACTTGTTACAGTAATTTAAAAAATTATGCAAATAGGCTTTGCACATACTAAAATCATTTTGTGATTTTTCTATGATAGAGAACTTAGGCGTACTTTGTACACGGGATGAAATTGTAGTTATAAAGAAAGGATTAGCCAACCCTATGTGCACATTTTAAGGTTGATGAATAGGAATTTAATCAAGACTATTGTAAAATTCAAATATAATTTAGTAATAAAAGCCTCAGCAGAGGGATGAGTGTTCTGTGTCCTTGTGCTGAGTAGGGAGAGAATTGTAATTATGCCACTGAAAATTTCAGTAATTAAGTAAAACTATCAAGGAGTTATAGGGATTAAAATTGGTCTGGTTAGAATTAATTAGGAATAGATATGACCGGAGGTAATGTACTTCGATTTATGCAGAGATTTTTTTGATAATTCTGGAGATCATATTGGCTCTAAGATTGAGAAAGTATGTGGTTACTTTCTCTTGGTTGATGACTTTTTATAATTGTCACTTGAGTGTCTTCTCCTCATAATGAAAGGTGAACTTGATGAGATCATGGCTGAACTTGAAGAGAGTAGAAGAAAGCTAGTCAATCTGAAAATGCAAAAGGATGCAGCGATGGGGATGAATTCCCCTAGTACAGATGCAGTGAATGGAAACTTGTCTCCTGAAAAGCCTGCAGACAGGACCATGGGTTTGCGTGAGTTGAAGGATTCAATAGAGGAAGCAAAGGTTTTTGTCATTTGATTTTCTTTCCTTTTGTCATTTCTTTGTCCTTTTCTCTATATGATGAAGATATATTCTTGCATATTGTCATAGCCATAGCTTTTACAATCGCACAATTCACGATTTGAGTCTCATGATTTGATACAATTTAGCAAGCCAACGATTCATATCATGTGATGAGTCGGATATGACTTTAAATTATATGGTACATGTATGAATTGGTGTGATTCCATATTACCAATACAAATTGCATGATTCAATGATTTATTAATTTTTTTTTTGCTTTTCTTTCATCAATTCTCGTTAAGAAAATCGAAAAATCAAATAAACTTAAACTATAAAATGAAAAGGAACAGATGAGTGCTATTGAATGCACCCTATTTGATTATTTCATTGCCTTGTCTTCATTCTTCTGAAATAGGAGCTTCACATAATCACTCACTCACTCTATGCATCCTATTTAGCTATTCTATTCCTATGTTTTCATTCTTCTGAAACAGAGGCTTTACATTGTCACTTGCTTACTCTATATGTACCTTATTTGGGCTTTTTCACCCTTTTACCCCTTATTAATTAATTAATAACCATTTTGCCCCTGATTCGAAACTATTTATCAATCTGCCCCTCTTTAGTCGACTACTTTGCATTTTTAATCGACTAAATGACCAAAACAGACAAAAAATGGCTGCTGGGAGATTTAGTCGACTAAATCTCCCTATTTAGTCGACTAAATCTTCATATTTTACAAAAAAAAAATAAGTCAGTATGATTTTAATCGATTAAGTAGAGAGATTTAGTCGATTAGATCTCCCAACAACCGTTTAGTCGATTAAAAATGCAAGGTAGTCGATTAAAGAGGGGCAGATTGGTAGATAGTTTCGAATCAGGGGCAAAATGGTTATTAATTAATTAATAAGGGGCAAAAGGGTGAAAAAGCCACCTTATTTGACTATATCGTGGCTCTGTTTTTGTTCTGCTGAAACATGTGTTTTATGCCGTCACTTTATGTGACTTAGTTATGACTTATGACTTAAGATATTGTTTTGTGAGACTTAAGGTTAAGTTGTTTTGTCAATTCCTAATTCCTAGTTTAAAATTATTATATTGAGCATTATACATCATTTATGTGATATATTTCAAGTTATTTTTCATTGTGTCTTTGAATTGTAAATGTGATTACATTTCAAAATTAGCCTGAATTCATGATTTGAATTGTGATTTGATAATAGATAGTGGATGCTGATCGTCTTTCTGAGCTTCAAGATGCACAAGAAGACAATCAAACCTTGACAAACCAATTCCAAGATCTTCAGGTTTGTAAGTTTGAATTATCTACGATAGTTTTGCCATGTTTTCTTGAAAAATTGAGATACATTCATTATAGGGTTCGATGTAAAAGTTGCTTTTCATCCATGTTTATTTCCAGAATGAACTGAATGATGATAAGTATGTGCGCTCTTCCCGAATATACTCTTTGGCAAATGATCAACTTCAACATTGGATTGCTGAATTGGACCGATATAAAACATTGGCAGAATCCCTGCAGGTTAACGGCGATTTCCTTATTTTTCCCTAAGATGTATAACAGTTTAATTGTAATTGAATATTTGTTGTTTCCCCCTTTTACTTTTTTTTTTTAAATGCAACTTTAGGCTGGCAGTGTTCATGTCACAAAATGGGAGAAGGAACTGAATTTGAAATTGGAATCTACCGATTCTGCAAGGCATATCCTTGACAATTCTAAACATAGGATAGATGAGCTAGAGCTTCAGTTGCAGAAGTGTATTATTGAAAAGAATGATCTTGAAATTAAGATGGAAGAGGCTGTACAGGATACTGGTCAGCATATCACTTGTTCTGTGTTTAGTCTTGCCCTGCAGATGATTGGATCTCCTAATTTCTTAAAATATTAAATGTTTCAGGGAGAAAAGATATCAAATCTGAGTTTCATGTGATGGCTTCAGCTTTATCTAAAGAAATGGGGATGATGGAAGCTCAATTGAAGCGATGGAAGGATGCAGCTCATGAGGCTGTATTGTTACGTGAGAAAGCACATTCACTAAGAGCACTGTTAAGTGGGAAGGTTTTTATCACGAACTGATTCAATATTTTGTGCTCTTTCATTTTCTTTCCCACCTACTTTATGGTAGGTGTTTTACAGAAATTTATCTATGTTCTCTACATAGTTACTTTTACAGGGAATTGGAATTTCATGAAAGAATAATTCTTTATCCATCTTAAATTTTTGTTGTCAAATGTCAAGAATCAATTCACTCTAAAAAGCTAAGCTATTAGGAGAAAGGCACAAGAATTGTGTTGAAATAGATCTCTAACATGCCCACTCAAGTAAAAGCCCTTTTGACTGAAAGTGTGAACAAAGTAAAATAACATGTTGTTGAAGCCAATAAATATAAAATATTTTGTGCATCAAGGTTTATTAATTCCTTTGTTTTGAAGCAGACAAGCAAACTTAAGAGCCTTGCAAACAAATGTGCAGAACAGGTTTTGGAAATCAAGTCTTTAAAAACATCGGTAAGTCTTCCCTTGTCTTTACCTTTGTGTTTTTCTTTGTGTGTACATATTTTCTTCAATGCCTCTGCTGTATAATAGTAATACTTCTTAATTTCCTCATTCAAGATTGATTTGATTGCATGCCACTTATCTATTACTTTCTGTATCTGGAGTATGTCTGTGAATGAGTCAGATTTCATTGTAGTGTTTTCCTTTGCTTTTGTTGTGTGTTATGGACGTGTATATGCACCTGTGCTTTCCAAAATTCTCAAACACTATTTGCATTTTGATTTTAGAGGTTTTATATGTTGTATATAACTAATCTTCAAATAACTGATTAAGATGTTTGTTACAGATTGAAAAGTTACAGAAGGAGAAACTGGAGTTAGAATTTGTTCTGGATATGCATGGCCAGGAGAATTATGAGAAAAGGTATGCTGATCTGAGATTGTTAAGTGCTGGTAATAGTTTTGTAGTTGAATTTGTGGGTAAATTTTTTTCTAAAGTAAATGCTGATGTGTGTGGTGATTTCTGTGCTTATTACTCTATGCTGTGTATTTTGGATGATAAAATGAATTTTATGGGTGAAGTAATGGAAACACCTGTCAGTGGCTAGGGTGCATATCATACCATAGTTGGAAAAACCTCTTTGGTAGAAGATGATAAAATTATTGCTTCTTAACAGAATGGATATGATGTCATACTAGTCCCAGAATATTTGTGCGTGTCATCCCTTCTTTCTTCCCCTGCTCATGTTTAAAGCTGGTGATGGTCCCTGACCTCCTATATCCAAATTGTGGAGGATTCTGGGTGAGGCAAGTCCCTTTATTTGTGGTTTCTCTTCCTTATTGCCTTTCATCTTTGATTTATGTACACCTAGCCCATTTTAATGGTATGCAAGGTTTCATTTTTCCTTTTATATTCATTTATTTTTTAAGGAACTTCAGTTTTAGGAAGCCTCAAACTTTGTCCTGTAATGGTTCCAGTACTTTCTTTTGAAAATCTTACTTTCATGTCCTAATCCATTCTTTCTTGGTGGATGACGAATGCTTATTTCAAATTGGTCAATTTCTGATATTTAATATTTACATTCTTTTTTTGCGTTGTCTGTTATACTTTGGACAAGGAAAAGTTTGTTGTGGAGAATTGTTTCTCTATTATGTTTCGATTCACGGTGCCCAACTTATTAAGGTTTTAGTGTTAAATTGAACTTATGATAAACATTTAGTTGTAGTTGGTAACTGACTAAGGAATTTGTTTTGTATTCAAAACAAAATGTTGGTCTCCTGTGTCTCTACTTGAATGATTTGTTCTTGATATGCTATAAAACTTGGATTTCAGATATTTGGCTGAAGTTAGAGAATCTGAAAGTAAAGCTCACTCTCAAGCTGAAATGCTGAAAAATGCTTTAGATGAGCATAGTCTAGAGTTGAGAGTAAAAGCTGCTAATGAAGCTGAAGCTGCTTGTGAACAAAGGCTTTCTGCTGCAGAAGCTGAAATAGAGGAGTTAAGGGTCAAGCTGGATGCATCCGACAGGTTGGTGTCATATATACTTCTACATTGATTATGGATTTGCTGCTTTTACAAAATGGTGGAGAGTGTCTATTGTTTTTTTCTTCTTTTTTAAACCTATATTTGTGGATGTTTATTTGGGGAGATAATATTCTGGTGATGAGGAGTGGAAGCTAGATGCTTAGAGTTTATGTAGAATTCAAGGATTTTCTCTCTTGGCCAATATACTATGCTGCTTTTGATACATGGATGCGTGCCCTGGGAGAATGTGTTTGCTAGAGCCCCATTTGAGTTTTTATCACATGATGACTTTGCAGAAGCATGCAATTTCTGAAGTTAAGCCATATTTATTTCATTGGATTCGTAGTTATCTGGGTTGCTAAAATTTATGCTACGGGGTGTTATTTGGCAAAGGCCAGAGTTGAAGTAGTTGCACTCGAGCCTTAAAAAACTGAGTAAATATTACAGTCTAAAGAAAAAGGTGAGGACTAAAGGTTTAATTGAGCTAAATATTAACATAAATTTATGGTGCAATGAATATTTTAAATTGATTTTTAGAGAAACAACTCTCAACGTAAGTACACTAATTACACTGTAAACCTAATTTAACTTGTCTGTAATCATATGTAAATTGCAAAAGCTTGTAGCATTTTCTTGAAGAAAAATAATTAAATTAGTTGTTATATTGTGTCATGAACCAACTATCGTAAAAATTTAAGTTATTAGGTGAAAATACATAAATGATTATGTACTTTTATATTTTTAGCATGCATCTTCACACAAGAGCCCTTTGGCTTGAAGCGTGAACAATATCAGACCCACATTACTCTGTGCTGAAATTTACTTTTTAATTAGAAGAATTAGGGGTGACAAAGAACAAACTCTTGACTACTCAATCAAAGAGGCTCTAATAACATGTCATGAACTAATTATCCTAAAAGGTTATGCTGTTAGGTGAAGATATATGAATATTTTTATACTTTTGTATCTTTAATATATATAGTCTTGATGAAAATAAGAAATTGATTTCGAACATCTGTGTGATCTAATGACAAGAATGTCTAGCAGTTTTCTTTTTATTTTTTATTTGTGTGTATCAGTTTCTTGATGGCAAGATTTGAGTACACCTGCTAACATTACTTTGTCAGATAGAAACAATTTTTTTTCGTATTGATTGTATTCATATGACTGGAATAAATGATTGTGCAAACTGTAATTGTTTTTTAATCTGTTGATACATGCCTTCTCCATGCATAACCTGTCCATATTCAGAGATATTTTGGAGCTGACTGAGGCTATTAAAGTTAAAGATGCTGAGGCAGAGGCATATATATCTGAAATTGAGGTTTCCTATCTGACTTTACGTTTCTTCCCCCCTCATACTTGATGAGCAACAATAAGTTAGTGGCGGCTATGCTTTAACGCTCTTTTCTTGTAATATAATTGATTGCTTTCCTGTAGACAATTGGTCAAGCATACGAAGATATGCAGACACAGAACCAACATCTGTTGCAGCAGGTGACCGAGAGGGATGATTATAATATTAAGGTATGCCTTATTGTTGTCTTTATTCTTTAATAAATGCCGCCTTGCTATGATCTTCCCCATTTTTCCATGCACAACTCCAGTAATGCTTTGGTTATTGTCTAGGCTTTTGCTAACCTGGTTAATGCAAAATTATTGCTTCAACTTTGTAACTAATATGTTAACATTTGCATTGATTTCTTAGATAAGAAATATATTTAAATATTTAAAAATATATGTTAATATTCTGAAGAACTGGTTTTGTATGAATTGATTGTGAAAAAAATAGCTTATTTTGGTTATGTAAAGGAAAATCATGTGTGTCGAACTACTAAATAAGATTTACATAAATTATAGTGAACCTCACTTGATAGAATTAATATCAGGAAGAAATTTTGGAGAACTAGTGGGCTGCATCTCCGAGAGTCAACTCTGGACCAGCCTAGAAAATTTCATAATTGATTTTGGCAATGTTTGATGGTGAGTTTAGAGTAGTGGTAAACCTGCTCCGTTGTGACTCAAAGGTCATGAGTTTAAATTAAGGAAATAGTCTCTTTGCAACCTCATTACTACCCTTGCGAGTTGGGTTTCATGGGAGCTCTTTTTTAGATGTCAATTTTCTCGGTCACTGAATTTTTGCTGTAGGAATTGATTTTGGCAAGGACAAAATCTTGTTCTAAACAGGAACTTAATTTGCATAGATAATCGTGCTATTTGCTAAAAACTGGTGTATTTACTCTGTTGTCTGTACTTAAATAATTCCTTTTTTGGTTACCGAGAACTTGTTTTTATCATATTGTAAACTTAGTGCAGCTTGTATCAGAAAGCGTGAAGACAAAACAGGCACATAGCACTTTACTGTCTGAGAAGCAGGCCTTAGCAAAGCAGCTTCAGCAAATTAATGCTTCAATAGAAAATTCAAAGATGAGGATTACACACAGTGAAGAGCAGGTCTAACTTTCCCTGCTGCTCGGTTCCTCCCCTTGGCCCCATAATTTATTTTCTTTTTTATTTTGATATTCCAGTGAACATCTTTGCTGCTACTTACTGTTGTTCTAAACAATAATTTGAATCCTTCAGATGAAAGCTCTACTATCAGAGGCCATTAAATGTACTCAAGATGAAAAACACCTTGCAGTCAACCTTGAATTTGCAAAGTGGGAATTGGCTGATGCTGAGAAGGAGTTGAAGTGGCTCAAGTCTGCTATTTCCTCTTCAGAGAAAGAATACGATCAAATTCAGAAAGATACGGAAGCTATTGAAATGGAGTTAGATAGTGAAAGGTATTCTTGTTTCCAAGGAGTGTAGCAATCAAGTCTGGATAAGGGAGAGATTTTGAACAATAGTTTTTACATCGGCATTAGGACACTCTCCAGTTCACTACGTAAAGTTCTAGTGTGTTTGGTTTTAGGGGAGGGGGATACAAATTTAATTTTGATGATGATCTTAGAGCCTAAAAAATCTCAAGGTTTGTGAAATTGATGAATTAGTAATGATGGTCAGGGGTTGAGTAAACAAATGGATCACAAAAGTAGCATTTGAATTTGGGGAAATGATTATCTTGTATGAAACACATTCTCAAGTGGCTTAACTCATGTTGATCCAATTATGTCATGCAGGAGTTCACGGAAGAAGCTTGAGGAAGATCTAAGGGAATTGAACAGCAAAATTACTGAGCTGAGTTCTGAAACTGGTGAAACCGCAATACAAAAACTCGAAGAAGAAATGAGGGTTTGCAAGAACATGATCAAGTGTACTGTTTGTTCTGATCGTCCTAAGGAGGTAACCATAGGCCAACTTATCCAATTACAGTTCTTGCTTTCATTGTAGTTAAATTAACTTGTGTTAAATATTATGATTGTTTTTAAATGAAGAGAATAATACAAAGGTGATTTGGCATGTTTTTCTTGGACTTGCATTTATCTTGTATGTTTGAAGACATCTACACCTAAGAGTTTGATATGTATTTGGCAGGTTGTGATTGTGAAGTGCTATCATCTGTTCTGCAATCCATGCATACAAAGAAATCTAGAGCTCCGTCACCGCAAATGTCCTGCCTGTGGAACAGCATTTGGACAGAGTGATGTTCGCTTTGTTAAAATATGATACTGATGTTAACATTCCTTGTACTTTGTTGGCCTTCATTTTTGTGTTTTGGATCCTTGTTCACTGCTGTTTGTCCTTTTTACCCTGATCATAGGTTCAAGCAAGCATTTCTTTATTATTGATAAATAGGAAAAAAAAGAAAGTTGTTGTTGTTGTTGTATGTATTTTAATACATTATACCTGCTTTTATTGAATATGCTCTAGTTTAAACATTTAAATTCATGCTTGAAGATTATTGCAAAAACATTAGGAAAAAAATATCTTCTTTGCCGTCCGAATAACATGTTAAATCATTTCATATCTCTTATCTTTTATCATTCCTAAAGTTGTTTCAGAATTAACATTTTCAAGTATAAACTGGTTTTTTTCATAATTCATTTCATTAAAACTATTCACATAATTAACACGGGATAGGATATTTTACTTATCATTTTTTCTGCCTACCTTTGCTTATCACTCTTCAACACCGTTAGATCAGAATCTTAAGAAGAGAGAGAAAGATAAATGTTAGTTAAGATTCTAATCTAATGGTGTTTTAAAGTGGTAGGCAGAAAAAATAGTAGGTAGAATAACTTATCTCAATTAACACATTAAAAAAAAGTTAAACAGAAGAAAGTTTACATCATTTTTTCTCACAAATCTTTTCAATATCTATTGTTTATTTTTTTCAGTATAAGGGGGATTTATGATTTTAGCTAAGCTTATTTAGGGGAGTGAGAAATGTCCTAGTGTACACAAAATTATAAATACTTTTAAATTCAGGTGCCCTTTTTTTTTTAGAACATTCTATATAATTTTGTACATGTTAATTATAAATTAAAGTGTTTAACATAAACGTGTATTTTTATGAATTTTATTAATAGAATTGATCTATAACCCTTTTACTAAACCATACTATCATTTTAATCTTTTAAAAATACAAAAATAAGTTACTGCAGGGATTATTTTGATGTCACATCATTTTAAATTTTTGAAAAACTAAATCAAAAGTATGTCTATGGATTGGAGAGCGTCGAAATAATAATTTAGGCCCTATTTTTAAAAATAATTTTTGGTTTTCAGAAAAAAAAATCCGTTTGATCTTGTCTGTTTTGTATAAAGAAATTATCAAATTTAAAAAATATGTATGGATTGTTATTGTTTTGTGTTTTAATTTTTAAGAAAAACACAAAAAAAAAACCCATTTTCATTTTTCATAACTATTTTGCAAAATAGTTTTTTTAAAATAAAATCATAACACAATTAAATAAGGGATTGGAAGATTGTTACTACCAATATGGAATAGGATATTATTACTATCAAATAATATTACTACCAATATTGAATAGGATATTATTACTACCAAATAATATTACTACCAATAATACTAGCATATCTTAATCGTTGATTTTCGTCAATTAACAGTTATTATTTTCACAAATCAAACTCACTAATTAATTAATAATTCACAATAAATAATAACTGTTGAATTGCGGAAATCAACGGTTAAGATATAATAGTAACATTATTTGGTAGTAATAGTATCCTATCCCATTAAACAAATCCTTAATTCTTTTTCTCCACTATTTTAATTTTTATTAGTATTTTTAGGTAAACTTTTTTTTTTTCTTTTGAATAGATTTGGTAAACTTTATTATTGAGGTATTTGCACCTGTTGTTTTATTATTATTTACGTTCTTGCGAAGGAAGTAAAGCTGTAAAAGCTTTTCCTGGGAGGTCCCAGGAAAGGGTTGGTATTTGGGTATTTGTTGTGCTGTGTTGTGCGTGGGAAGAACGCACCGCAACGTTGGTTGCAGGATGCAGCGGTTAAGGAGCTCTTTCTTAGGTTCAGTGTCGGCGGCTAACCTTAAACGAAAATCTCTTAATTCATGGGCTGCCGTCCAGGACACTTATTTTTCCACCAAGGTAACCTCTCTCTCTCTCATCAATTTTCATTTTTTGTTGTTGTTGTTGTTGGTTCCGTTCATGTGAGTGATGTCATCTATTTCCGTTCTGTTAGGATACGTTTGAGAGGCACCGTGTCGTCTTTGCAATTGGAACTTCCATTGCATCAGTTGCAACTGCTGTCTTCGGTCTCTTGTCTCTTCTTTCTCTCTTTCCATCAACACTCACTATTCAATAACCTCTTCTTACCTTTCTCTATTTTGATTTTTTTTCTTTCTTTTTTTTTCAATTGCCAGGTTACTCCTTGCGTCATTTACATGAAACCAAAGTTGATCAAAGGCTTCAATCCATCGAAGATGCTGTATCTATCTATCTATCTATTTACCTTTCTTGTCTGTGCTTTTGTTGTTTTTGGTTTTACTTGCTTCATTACAATTACGGATACTGTGTTGTTTTTTTCCGCCAGATGAAAAACAACACTAATCTTCAACATTCAGAAATCAAAGACATTGTTGGTTCCGGAGGTTGCAGTATTCCTGCTTGTCTCGCCACTGCTGGAACCACCTTTGTTATCGGGTTTGTTCCCTCTTTCCCATACTTGAATCTCTCTAAACTCCAACTATAAAAAATGAAATTCTCCTTAACATTTCTCTTCGGATTTTATACCCTTTTTATTATTTTTTTGAGTAAATTCAAGGGTATCCTCCAGCCGAAACCGAAGACTAATCCCCATCGATCGAGCACTGTCATGTTGCAGCTCTCCCAAATTCTTTTTTTTTTTCCATTTCCAGCTCGAACTCGAGACTGCTGGTCAAGGAGCTCTCCCAATTCTTTTTTCCACTTCCAGCGCTCAAACTCGAGATCTCTTAAGGGCTCCTCACCACCTGTTTGGTTACATATACCCTTATTTTGCATGTAACATATGACATCTATTAGAAAATTATGAAAGGGAGACTTGCCACTACAGTTTTGAGTTATGCATGTTGACCTTTGATATTTTGCAATGGAAGGATTTAATTGTTTTAATTTCCTTTTAGTTTTAAGTTTTAACTCTAGCTGATACACAGGTATGGCCTGGGATGGAGAGGTGGAATCTGGTATGCAACTAAGAAGTTCAGAAAGGAGCAGATGAAGATGTTAGGACAGATTAAACCTAGAAAATGGCAATTGCTTGGGAAGATTAAACCAAGAGGGTGGCAATTGCGGTTCCTTAAAAGGCCCCTTTTAAGATCCAAGTTTCCAGATACTGCAGTCAAAACATCTGAAAAAATTATAAAGGATGCACCTACCACCACGCATATTACTGGGAAATCCCAGTAGAATTGCTATTACTATTAAAGTATAGATGGCTGTTGATGCTGGATTAGCCTTTCAATTAGATAAAACAGAGTAGCAATGTAGTTATGACCAATTATAGTCAGATTTTGCACTGATATTTTTGTTGTTTTGGCATGCTGTTGCTCGCCCTTTGTTCCATATTCTTCATCCTTGGTGTGATGAGTTTTTCAGATGCTTTTGATTTATTTTGATTATTGAATATATATTGGAAGAAATACACATACTTCCTTTAATTTTTGTGGTTTGACAAATAGATCTCTCAATTTTCACTTTTGGTTAATTAACTTTCATTTTATAATTTTATAATTGTCTGAAGTCTGAACAATGAATTTGTGTTCATGCGGAATGGCCCAAGTTCTAAACAGTGTAATTTTTAACAACAAAGTTTTCTATCAATGTTATAATTCAATGGACGGATCAGCAGTTGGAAATTTCAGTGGAGTGTGAGATGGGGGGTGGGGTAGCCAAAATGGATAGAAGAGGCTATCAATTGCATAGCATTTAAAATTTTGGAAGAAACACTTTTACAGTGAACTTGTTTGTAAAGGAAATAACCAAGGGTTCATTAAAGTAAATAAGTAAGGGTGTATATATTTTTAAATTGCAGTGAATTGAGATTATGATGTAGTTTAGAATTAAATCTATAGGGAGATATGACATTAAAAATAAGCGCACTTTAAAAGAGTTTTATCTTTAGTCAAATAATTCTGAATGCTAAAGGTAATGATCTTTGCTTGGGCACATCTATAAATTTCATGCGCCTCTGGTAAGAAAGGCTTCTGGTCTGAGTTCCCGATACCTTATTTGGGGGCAAGGTTTTGTTTGCTCTCTATTGCATAATATTTTCTTTATGCCACATGTTTTGGCTTTTTATACGAGAGAATATGTTTCTAATATTGCATAAGACAATTTTATATCATGTAACATAAAAAAAATGAGATCCACTAAAAAGAAGAGAAAAAAAGAAAAAAAAAAAATGGATGGCACTCCCTTACATGAGATAATTTATTTTCTCATGTAACAACATAAGAAACATATTTTTACACATTGGTCTGGTCAGTGTTCAACTCTGCAATGAAAAACCATCCACACATTTCTTGTTGAAGTAAAGGAATCACGGCAACAAAATCCAAAAATGGCCTATAATTATTAATAGGTCCATGGTGGACCCCACAGATGCTTTGTTTAAACCACTAGGTGCAATATGTTGACAAAAAGGTGGTTTAAAGTCCTCATGTGAATAATTTTGTTTTCCTGTTTTCTGCGTGTATAAATAATGTCAGGATTGGGAATATTAATGTACCAGGAAACACAACATGGCCAAGACATCACTCTCAATTATCCTCGTGATTCTCTTCTGGGGTTTAACAAGAGCAACTGGAACAAAATTGTTACCACTCAGTAGAAGAATTGCTGTTACTGCATTGGCACAATCCGCCACTGATGGTATTTGCTCATCAATGGTGAAGACACAAGGCTATACTTGTGAAGAACACTTCGTACTATGCCTGCATCTGTTACTCTTCTATTCAGAAATCACTAAGATTTGGAGCTTCTATTGATTGGCTTATATGTATGTAATGGTTTTTTAGGTGACAACACAAGATGGTTATGTTCTCAATATGCCGAGAATTCCTGTGGGTCGGTCAAAGGGGCCAACAAGAAAAAGACCACCGGTTCTGCTACAGCATGGACTTTTCATGGTTATTATTTGTTTCAAAAGCAACTATATATCATGGATTTTGTAGTTGATGTTGGAAATTATTGTAATGTTGTTGCTGCAGGATGGTATAACATGGTTATTGCTACCTCCAAGCCAATCTCTTGCATTCCTTTTGGCAGATAATGGGTTTGATGTTTGGCTTGCTAACACACGTGGAACCAAATATAGCCGTCAACATACATTGTTACCTACTAACAGCTCGGTTAGTTTTTTTTTGTCTACTCAATGTTCTTCCACTTCTCTGGTCAGCAATTTGATTCTATTGCTTATATCTGTTTTTCACACTTTAGGATTATTGGAATTGGTCATGGGATGAATTAGTTGCATATGATCTTCCAGCAACATTTCAGTATGTGCATGATCAAACTGGACAAAAACTGCATTATGTTGGTCACTCACAGGTGAATTTCTCATGCTAAACTTCCTCTTTTTGTCTTTAACCTTTCCTTACTATACAATGTGTGCAGACTGTTGGATTCTTTTGTAGGGAACTTTGATTGCGCTTGCTGCTTTGTCCAAAGATCAGTTACTGAACATTTTAAGATCAGCTGCCTTATTTAGCCCAATTGCTTATGTTGGTCAGATGACCTCACCGCTAGCTAAAAATGCTGCTGAAAACTTCATTGCAGAGGTAGTTGTCAATAAATATATTGTTTCTTTTTTTTTTCATCATAATAGGAAAAGAAAATGGTTGCTTAAAATTCAGAAGATTGATTCTGAAAATCTGTGTTTTCTGCCTAACAGTCACTGTACAAATTGGGAATCTTTGAATTTGATCTGAGAGGGTGAGTAACTCTTATTATCTTTTTTATGCATGTAATTGATTGCTATTATTATTCATTACTTTGCACTGTGTTGCTTAACTGATTGTTCAAACCTTTAAAGTTGTAAGAAAACATATGACATTTCCCAAAATACTTGGTGGGTGGAATAAGATCAGATTCAGAATACATTCTGATGTAAAACAGTACTTTCCATTGAATGTGAAGTTTAATTAATATTTCCATGTCACAGATTGGTTTAAGCAAGAGTATGACTAATCTTGTAATGCTGATCCATTTCATGATTGGTTTCACTTCACTTTTTCTCATGTTTCAATAGGGGCTCTGTTATAAAGTTTCTTAAGGACATGTGCAATCACACAGCCATTGATTGCACGAACTTGTTGACCGCTTTCACAGGTTGTATGCATGTTTCTATTCAGCTATTATCCCCCCAACAAAAAGAAAAGAAAAAGAGAGTCACTATATTCAACACTTGTTATCTATATTGACAATATTATTATGTTTTCAGGCCCAAACTGCTGCCTTAACCCTTCGATAGTAAACATTTTTTTGGATCATGAGCCTCAATCAACGGCAACAAAGAACATGATTCATCTATCTCAGAGTAAGTGGTCCTATTTTCCTAATCTAAATATCCTGTTTGACAACAATATATCCTATACTTCATGATGAAAGGGAAGTATAGATTTTGAAAATTCAACCTGTTAACAACAGAAGAATAGTTTGTTTCATATGAGGGGATTTGAATTTAAATCCTATATGTATCACAGTGATCAGAGAAGGAACAATAGCAATGTTTGATTATGAGAACAAAGATGAGAATACAAAACACTACGGACAGCCCACTCCTCCAGTGTATGATATGACCAGAATTCCAAATGACCTTCCCCTCTTCCTTAGTTATGGAGGGGCTGATGCTCTTTCTGATGTTAAAGATGTGCAACATCTTTTAGAAAGTCTTGAAGATCACGATGGAGATAAGGTTGTAGTACAGTATAGAAATGATTATGCACATGCAGATTATGTAATGGGTGAAAATGCTAAACGAGATATTTATGAACCTCTTATATCTTTCTTTAGGCTTCAATGATATCTAAACAATAATTAATATCCTTACAGAATTTTTGAAATTACCTGTTTCTATGTCACAGAATTGAATAGCACAGAAATTTCACTGTGTAATTTTATAAGAAGATAATGTTATTAAAGGAAATTCCTATATATTTTTCACTTCCCTTGTTTCTTAAATTGCAACTCTCCTATTGGCTCAATAACAAGTGTAAATGTTGTAAGTTCAATAATGTTATGGAATATTTCCATGTCCTAACCACCTACCCAAAATCCCTTAAAGGATAACTACCTAATTATCCTAACAATATAAAACAGTAAGACTGCTAAGGACAGAGTCCCTATCTCAACAGAAAGGAAGTTAAATCCTACTACAACTGGAAGATCTACACAAACCCAAGAGGTAACCCTTATAAATAGGAGGTTAAAGACCCTAGGTACATACTCTGAACTCAGTTACTACTTCTGCTCACACTGTGCACACACTCACGTCTCGGCTACAAGCCTGTTGCTTGTGCGCGGTGATAGGGATATTGGCTATAAGCCAACCAAGATACCTATCCATAGGATATCTCTGAGTGCATACCCTTGAGGTATCAATAGAACCGAACAAATAACAAGTGGAAACAATTGATGCCTCACTCAACAAAGTTCAAAAACCGGTTCGTTTTTCTGAATCGAACCTGAAAAATCGGTTTGGTTACGAAGCATGCAACCTAGAGCCACAAAAGATGATGTTTTTGAAAGATGCTAGCAATCTCTTCTTCAATAGCTAGAATTTCCATAAGCTCTTCTTAATGCCTAGATTAGAATCACCACGAGTTTAGTAATTACTCTCCACTAAGAAGCTGGAATGGCCTGGATTGGTTTTTAAGTAAATTTAGCATCCCTCTCTTTTTAAATTTGTTTCATTTACCTTTTCTTTATTTTTTCAAAACATACATCATGACTTGTCAAATGAGCTAATAGCTTACGAAATTTTTGTGTGTTGTGTGTGTGTTTTCCATCGTTAAATATGAATGAACATAGTGTAACTAGTGTTCTCCTGGGAGAAGACAATGTAGTTTGTAAGAATTTGTAAACAAAAAAATTTGTAAATATAACCTGCTCCATCATTATATTCCAATTTAAATATATTCTCAATAATGGTAACACACAACAATCTTTGTTGCTTTCAACATTAATTTCTACTTATCAGTTTAGATAAGCTGCGATACACAAAGGTAAAATCCGATTTATGCCCTTAATTAATTTTCATACTCCTTCATTTTGAAAATGCAGGCACAATAATTAATTGTAATTGGCTCAGAGATATATTTTCACGTTGATCTCTCATGACTCATATGATATGATCCAATTTCTTTCTCTACCATATCTATGATAGTACTACTAAAATTTGAAATAATTGATTAATTAGTAATTTGGGTAAAGACGTGTATTCTATAAACAAAACTTAAGATAGTACTAAAATTAATTATTAATTCACTTTTTGTTATTAATGTTTAATTTTGACTCACAAAACTTATACTATATCGTGAATCTAATTTGGTAGTACTAGATTCATCTTATGTTCATTTTTTTATACAATGCAAGCATTGAAGTTTAAACCTATGACATCATGCAAACTATCCAAATTTCTTACAAAAAAATTTCAGTGGT